AAATTATTATTTACAAATAGCATTATAACGATTGAAAATCCCCTTCTCTTTAATAGGTTTACTACATATTCACAAATATATTACTTAAAGACCATACACGTATGTACATATGTATATTTATACAAAAAATAATATTCTTACATATATAGATATGTAATATATATATTTACAACTATAACAACCAACTTAATATATTGAAGTATCCACAAATAGCTATCGTTCATCCTCCACGTTATTGCCTGCTGTTATTACTACAAGAACCTTGTAAATGCTTATACCTTCTTTTGCGACTGGTGTATATTTTGATCATACCCACTTAAAATAATAATATATACGTACTTAGTATGTATTTATGTTTGGTAGGAATAAGTTTTAATATTTTTCTATATATGAGGAATGTAAAAGAGAAAGTTTGTATATCCTTCTTATTATGTTTGCTTTACCCTGCAATTCAAAAATTTTTATTCATTTTGATTTAAGTAGAAAAGCCAACAAGCTTTTCTTTTCCCTTAGTTGTTTTTTTTTTTTGCTTTTTTTTATACTAATATTTGTGAGAATAAATTTTGTTCTTAAACAGTTTCTTTCAATATTTTTTCGAAAAAATTTAAGTTTAAGAGATTTCGTTCTGCTTGAATGAAAAAATTTCAAAACTTCGCTACTTATTTGTTATTTATTTTAAATATGATATTTAGTTAAAATATAAACTTATCTGGTAAAAGTGGTTTGACTAAAACAGCCAAGTGAAAAACTTAAAAATTCTCGAAAATTTTCGATATTCCCCACCGCAACTTAAATAAAAACAGCATTCTAATTTTAATTTTCTTTTAATTTATTTTGGTAAGTTTACTCAGACTATTACTCTGCAATACTGGCTCCATAAATTAAAGAATTAAATACCTTTGAAAACCCTCAATTCGACTCTTCGGCTCAAACATTTCAAATGAATCACTCGACTCCAATCCCGCTTGCCTAATTTAATTAATTAAATTAAATATCAACTTTATTTTCTAAATATGCTCTGTAATTTAACAACACTACTTTACATTTTGAAAATTAAATATTCGATGGAAACAATTTTGATGGTTTTTCAAGAGCAAATTACTGACATAGTGTTTGTTTTGTTTATTTGAAAGGTAAAAAATCTCATAACAATTTATTTGAGATTCTTCTATAAGACCCGTAAAGAAAATAACAAGATGTAGAACATATAAAAAAGCATGAAAAATGAAAAGGCGAAAAATATGTTCAAATATCCTTGAAAATGCTTTGATGACAATAAATTTCATTGTGAGTGTTGTAACACCATACTTAATTGAAATAATATTTCTAATGTAAACGATGAATAATTTAGCACTTATTTTAATTCTTTAATTGAATTGTGAATAAAGTAAACAATTTTTGTCCTAAAGTAGTGAAACTTTCTTTTTTAAAATTCTACAAACTTATTAAAATTTCTGAATTTGTTAAAATTTTTTTAAATATTTTTTTCATTTTATAATTAATTTATTTTGTAGTGTAATAGCTATGCAAAAATTTTAGTGCAAACATTTAACAACAAATCGATTAAATATTTTCTCCCAAAAGTATGCAATTTTGTACATATTAAATTAAAATGCATGCACACTTTTTAATTGCATTAAATGGTGTTTTAAGAGTGAAAAAAAACTCATAGAATCCTGTTTAAGCGCTATTAATACAAAAATAATAATTTTAAAGTTTCTTTTTTTATGTTGTTAATAATAATGATATAAGACGATTAAGATTATTAGAGCATCGTCATTATTTTGGCTATGATTTTACTTTTATAGTGAAATTTTCTTTTATTTGACAGAAATAGTGTTTTATTTCGACTTGTAAGCGTCAGCTGATGTAATTATTATTACTACAATTTTTTTTTAGAAAATATATTATTTTAATTTCGGAAATTTATTTGGATATGGCACGTTTTTGTAGCTTGCCGCAGAAGCTTTCCGTTAATTGTTGGTAGAACTGTAAAAGATTTTCTGTCAAATCGACAGCACAAAATTTTTTTTTTTGCTTTTATATTCATAACCTCAATTAGTAGAAAACTTAATTAGTAAAAAATATAAATCAAACTTTTTGACACCTAAATTTTTGTTGGCAGCACTGCCTCTGTAGTTCCAACAGCTCAGTTTTAACTTATAAGATCCCTCGGAGTCAGAACTGCGAACGCAATTTCAGCCTATGATCTAATTTCCTTCAAATTAACCAATTTTATTATACAGAATCCTGCTTGATTCAAAATTTTGCTGCAACAGTCTTCATAAAATCAATTCGAATCAGACGGTATCATTCATCTTATATTAAGACCCAATATTATATTTGAAGAATATATTACTCATTTCATTCAGTGATATTGCGGTTATTAATTCTATGAGAGGAAAAAAATATTAAGATCCAAAAGCTTTCAAATTCTCGATATATTTAACGACTTCATTTTCGAAAATATATCATTCTTCTAATAAATGTGCGATTAAATATAAAACAAAGCTAAAAAAATAATATTAGTTTATAGCATTTGGCATTCTTAAAAATCATCTGATTCAATTATTGTTAAATTTTCACACAAAATCTAAAAATCTTTTCCACATTAGAACAAAAAACAAACAAAATCTGAATAAAAGATTTATTGTTAAATAAAATTTTTTTATTTCTGTTCTTTTCGAAGGATATAAGAAGGAAATCTTTACCACTAATACCATAATCTATTGGCTATCTATGGATTAATTTTAATTGAATTTAAGGGAATTTTTTATATTTTTAACGCTAAAGGACAAAAGATTTAATTCTGTTTTGTTAGTCTGAAATAAAATAAGGCAAGCGATTCAGAAGGATAATAAAATATTTTCTAGTTTTATTTTTTGTTTTTTGTTTTTTTTTTATTCCTTTGTTGTAATCTAATGTATATAGAAAAATAAAAAGTTTCTCTAGAATTTTTTTTTAGTTTTTCATTTCTCACCAAAAAAGAAAAAAAAACTTTTTTTTTATTTTACATAAAAATTTATGTATGCTAAAATAAACACACATACACATGTAAACTAAAAGGAAAATTTGTGAAAAAAAAACTGTTTCGAATAATTTATAGAGATTTTTTCTGAAAAAGAAAAAAATAATAAAAAAAAAAACAAATAAAAGAGCAACGAAAATAAGTAAAAAATTCGTGACATTTTTGTTGAATTTTTAGTCCTTCTATAATCTGTTATACGTAATATGTCTCAAAAGTGTATGGTCAAAATTTTGATTACTGTATGTAATGAATGTATTTTAACATGTGTGTAGGCTCAAAATTTACATATTATTTATATTTTAGACTTAATAAAAATAAATATATCAAATTTACTCAACAATATGACGTTTAACATACATGATTAATATACAACCACACATTTTTCCCATCAGATGTTCTGAAATAAATAAATTGTGATTTTCATTCAAATATACATTATAACTATGTGTTATTTGTCAACATAGAAATTAATAGGACTTTATATTATTCATTTTATTCTTTTATCTACATGTATGTATAATTTAGAATAATTCAAGTAGAAGCTCAGAGTTTTGATATTATCGAAAAATTAAATTAAAATTTTTCTTTCAAAAAGGACATCAATTTGAAATTATAAATATGATAAGCCTACACATATTATAGTTTATCCTTTTTAGATTTAATTTTAATGAAATAGTCCTTAACTAGATAATTTCAATAGAATTATGATTGAAGAAAATTTACTATATATATTTATGTACATTTACAATTATATAAGAGAGATATTTCAGAAAATTATTATAAACTGTAATCAAAGGACTGGTACATATATTATTTTGGTTCTTCAAAAATATTATCTAGGTATATTTTCAAATCTTTTAAGAATTTAAGAGATTTTAAAGGACAAAATATCCTTTTCAGAAATTTTCGTTTTTTAATCAAAATATTTCTAAATTAATCCCTATATATTCTCTTATAATGTAACCATAGAATTTTTGACAAATATTGGTATGATATTCAATTTCATTTTTAGATATCTTTTATTGGGAATTCAAAGAAATTACTTGTATAAAAAAATTGACTTGTTTTAAGAATTAAATCTTATTAGGAGATATAGAATTCATAAACCAAATATTTTTAGATAATATTGAAAAATTTTTTATAATTTCTGAATGCAAGTAATAATATAGCAATTAATTAAAACAAAAATCATTTAAGTAGAATAAATTGGGCATTATGCAATATAATCAATCAAATATGTAAGATTTTATAAAAGAATAGGGCTGATGGCAAAAATGATTTAATGTTTGGTCTTAAAAGAAAAAATCACATAAATTTCTGGGTAGTTTGAAGAATTGAAATTTACTACTTACTTCTCACTTTGTACAACATGGTTTTTTTATAGAATATGAAAAAATATTGAAGAATCTGAAAAATATAGCAATAAAAATTCAACTTTAATCAAAATATCATTATGAAATTTTAATTTTACTGAGTTGATAGATGGTTCCTACTGTTAAGACTACATTTAATTCGAATTGAAATGTCATTCATATTCAGCCAAAATTTCATCGATCCCCGAATTCGTCGATTACGCGAATTTTAACGTGATTATTAAAAATAGTTTGAAATCCGTTAATATTTTTTTTTTTTCAAGAATTAAATTTGATTCACTACCTAAATCGTATCAAACACAATATTTTTCTGTATATACAGTGGAGATAACATGGAGATCTTATGTGACAGCTTATATTTTTCAAGCGTTGTACAAAAAACCAGCCTATAACATGATTCTAGGGAAAAGCTTTAAAGAGGTCATTAATATCAAATGAATACGGGATAGTAATTCGGTTGACTGTTCATCATCTCACAAATTCCATATATGCAAAAGAAACACTGTCTTTGGTTCTAGTATAAAATGATAATTTCAAAAAACAATTATTTTTTTTTGGTTTTTTAAAACTTTATTATGGTAAAATAAAAACTTTTCATTCCAAATTCATATAATAATAATAATTATTCTTTCACCAACTCATAAAAATAATTCAAAATCAGGTTTATTAAAATCTTTAATCTCTTAAACTTAAAATTTCTATATTTATATTAATAAAATAATATTAAAAATATCACAATCACAAAAAATTTATAAAATTTTTGTTTTAAAATATTAAATAAAAAATTTTGGTATACAAATAATATCAATATTAATAAATTTTATCCTCTTGGATATTTATTTGGTTCAATTCTAGCTAATTGCCTGTAATTACCTTTAATATGATCTAAACGTGTAAATTCCCTCCAATCAATATTAAATTCTTTTAATGTTTCAAATAATATTGGAAATAATTGTGGTAAAATTCCATGATCTAATGTTGGAAATAAATGATGCAATGTATGATTACCAAAATGTGTTAATGTTAAAAATTGTGATCCTTTAACATCAGTTGAATCAGCAACAGCATCAATTTGATATATACCCCAATCTTTATCAGAACGTATTGCATCACCATCATGTATAATATCTGGTGAATGATGTGCAGCATTTAAACCAATTAAAACAAATATAAAACTACATGCAGTCACCAATAAAATCCAATATAGAAAAACTTCAATTATTGAAGCTTTTGTAAATAAATACATTGAAATTGGTAAAATGAATCCAATTAATTCATCCCAATCTAAAACATTTTTTTTCAATATTGAATAAATTATTCTAAAAAAATAAAATAAAATAAAATAAATAAAATATGCCTTTTGTTATGAAAAAATCCAAAATAAATTGTATACAACGACACCAGTAGAATATACAGAAGCAAAAGTGTAAACATACAGATCTTTTACAGATTTACAGACTTACACAAGAAAACTTACAGATTTTTTTAAAATTAATAAGTTAAACGCATTTACAAAAGTTTTGAAGCAACAATTTAAAAATTGTGCTTATATCAACAAATACATACGTCACTATCCTAGGATTTTGTTCCTAGTATTCATTTAATATTCACTATACTTTGCATCAATATACTCTATGGTGTCAATGTACAAAAATTTCATTTCTAATATGCTATATATAAGTATACCTTGAAGCAAATTGTTCCCAACTTGTTAAACTATATATTATTGGGCCATAAAACCATGAACCAAATCTTTGTATCCATGTTTTTAAATTACGATTTGGTATATATTGAAAGAATGGTTCCAATAATGTTATCTCTAAATCATGAAATGAATTTGTATATATATGATGTGACATACAATGTGATATCCTCCATTCTTTATAATTTAACATAGATAAATTAAAGAATAACATACGCCAATTATCACGCTGATGAAAATAATTATGTGATGCAATAACAGTCCATGTCATTAATATTGATGTAATCATAAGACCAATAATACTGTGTAGCGCAACACTTGTTATTGCTGTAATAAATGTTGATAGTAGCAGCATAGTGTGAATTAACTGAAATATTAAAAATATAGATTTATTTTATGTATACATAAATATATGTTATGTTTATGTATAATATACGATATGTATATGTTAGCTTAGTATAAAAATTTATATTGGTAAACCGAATAAACATTTGAAGGACTCTAACTAGAACCGATATTATAGAAATTATAAAAAATTTTTATAATTCTAATTGTGGCATCCTAAAATTGTCTGAAATGAGTAAAATTTCACTCTCGATTATAGATTCAAATACGAGAAATACGCAAAACCTTTAATATTCTCATTCTTTGCTTTGTAAACTTAGGATTTTTGTTCTTATTTTGTTCTGTTAGTGGTTATTTAAATAACAAATTTATGAGTATATCGTGTATATTGTATATATCGTGTATTTATGAAGCGTATGGTCCCAAACAGAAAGGTCGTAAATTCACTAAAACAATTTCCTTTCTTTAAAGCCATAACATAAAGAATTTTCCCATTTAACGATTACGCTCCTTTTTGTTATTTCCAACACATTATTAAGCATTCAATTACAATTTTTTTTATTCGTTTATACGTTTCTACAGAATTCCGCCTTTCCAACTCAAAACGAATCAACTATTCTCCTTGATTTTATGATAAAGAACATGTTAAAAGTATTTCAACAAGTAATTCAATTTAAAAAGGCTGATACGCGTCCGGAAAAATCGTAAATTTAAATATTAGTGACTTACATCAGATTTGTTAACTGTATGATCAATATCCTTAATTTTTTCTCGTGCTCTTAATTTTAATGTTCTATAAAAACCATCATCTTTAAATGTTAATATATAATTTCTTGGTTCATTAGCATCACGAACTTTGTATTTAGCTAAAATTTGTTCAGGAATTGAACTTATATGATGTGCCTCAAAAGCTTCAGTTATATCAGTTCCCTACAAGAACATAAGAATATCAAAATTGCAATTTTTTATAAAAATAATCGTTTATCTAAGATTCTTACCTCAGTCATTTTTAACCAAAATGAACCACCAGGATGAATTTTTACAAAATCTTTTAAATCATACAAACCATCATGGATTCTCCAAAGTCCTTCAGCACCCTCGTCAATTCTTTTATTATCCAGCCAACTACACATAATTAAAAAAAAACGAAATAATTATTAACGAAAATCAATATATGAAATCTTCGATATCTAGTTAATTTTAATGTCAGTGCATGAAGAAGAAAACAAAATGAAGGAGCAATACTTATTTATATCAAGAATTATTAGATGTACTTTACTAAAACTTAAAATTTAACTATGTGCTTGACTTAAAAAATTTTAAGATAATCTGTACAGCCCAAAATTTCAGATACAGTAACACTACTGCAGGTAAAAGTAATATATATATAAGAATTTTTCAAGCTTCACACGAAGCTTTACCAGAAATTCCGACTGACGATTTTGAAAATTTTTTTATATAGTGCAATTATAACATTTTTTCTGTTAAATTTTTAATTACAGAATGGATCCGCATTAATTAAGTACAAAATTATTTTTAAAAATTTCTAAATTTTCAAGAGATTCAAACGTCCCAAACGCTCCAAGTCAATTTTATTTTACATAAATAAAGTTGTCTTGGTGAGAATTTTCATGTTATATAAATACAGCATCCTGTAATACAATACATGAAAATTCAATAAAATTTTTCATAACATTCTTTCTGTACACATCAATAAGACTTTAAATACCTAGAATTTTAGCTTAACGTTGTAGTTACACCTATTAAAATTTGGATAAAAGTACAACATTTCTTCTGTATAATTATAAAGTTCAATTAGACGCTAAACTCCAATTTAAATTAAATTTGCATACTTATTTTAAATTTAATTAACTTAATATAATTTTGCACTACAGCACATTGCATTTTAATCAAAGAATACTTTTGAAAACACAAAAGAAATATGCAAATGCATATTATTTACCTTTATATATGCGTGGTATATAACGTAAATATAGAAATTTTGTGTACAAATAATTCCCAATACACACTATAACTTTTACCATTTAACTTTATAATAATCTCAAATCACCCATCTCTAATTATCACATCATAAAATTCAACCTAAGAGTTATCAATTTATTAAAGCATACACATGCATGTAGATAAATATACATACATATGTACATATATATTATAGTATATACGATGTATGTATGTATATCTTAATAATAATTTTCATGTTTCACATTTATGGAATTAATTATCCAAAAATTCATTATTTTCAATTAGAAACTCCTTCGGATATATTAAAATATGGTGTTTCATACATTAAGCATTTATTAAGCAATACATATAACACTTTTAACATTATTCAGGTGATTATGTAATATGCGTTATACATATAATATTATAATTATTGTGTATACCTTGTATGTGGAAATATTATAGGTACGGATTACAAATTGATTAATGATTAATTTATTTATTATACATTTAATTATATTTTTTACGCTTTTTAAATCTTCTTCTTCTCTCCATAATATTATGGAAATGAATTTAATTATTAATTTTAGAATTAATTAAAATTAGATAGATGAGGTTTATTAAAATAGTTTTGATAAAAAGTTTATTTTTTCTATTTCTATTTAAGAAAATTATTAAGACATTATGAGCGGTTCGGGTACTAGTGCCCGCTTGTGTAGATTATTATAGGCATCCTATTATAGGCAATATGGATGTAGAAACTTATTCTAGACATTTTTTTTATTCTTATATTTTTTTCAAAAACTTGTTATTTTTTGAGTAATAGGGCCCACAAACTTTTTATATATCCGGATGTATACATTGTATATATTGGCCCGCTACGCAACATTGTTGCCCATGCTAGGCCACTCGCTCATAATGTGTTAATTTATTTTAAACATAAAACTAGTGCCTCGAGCACTGTTCAAAAAACATATCAATTAACCCTAAATTACATAATGTAGATGAAAGTTCAATTTTTTAAATTCAGTTCAGAAATTCATATATATATAAACTAATTTTGCAATTTGGAACTTAACACCACAAATCTTTTACTCTAAATTTTCAATAAAACCTTTTGAATTCTAATTTGTAATAGAACCACAGTAAGGGAAATATATACATGTAAATTAACCTCGAATTTCTGGTCAATTGGATCTAATATAAAAAACAATTTTATAACAATATTAACTGACATATATACTTACCGTATATATATCAATGGCTTACAACATTTTCCATACTGTTGTAGAAAAAATTAGATCTTTAATGAATCTTGTCTAAAGTGGAATCATTGAAATTAGAAAAAAAGAAATGTGAGAAAGATTTTTTGTTCAAGAGCTATAGAGTTTGTAGTTCTGTTCTTTTTTATAATTACAAAATCGAATCTGAGCTGTTAGATCAAATTAGTGCAAAGATTTGATATATTTTATTACAGAACAGTATTTGTTAATTTTTTTATATCGTACATTAAATATATTTTTTAGAAATTAAACGATCTTTAAAAGTTTTGAAAAATGGTTGGAAAAACGTGGGCTCCATATATGCGAACGTTAATTTAACAATTGATTTATGTGAACATGAGAGTAGAAATGTCCGGGTTGAAAAAAGGAGACTGAGAGACTCATACAAGCACTTCGAATTAAATTATTGGATGTAAGAATAGCAAACCAAATAAATATTTAGATAATAAATATATAAATATTCTTTTTTGGCAATTAAAATGTTAGAAATATTTTTTACTTTTGCACTATAAAATTTTTAACAACTAACAAAACTTTTATTCTGAGAAATTTTCGAACAAAACCTATATTCTAATGATGTTCAAAATACAAAAATTCAAAAATTTAAAAAAAAGTTTTCTAGAATTTTCTTTGAAGAAAAAAGTTCTCTCTGAATTTCGATTTGTAATAGCAATGTTCGGAATTTCTTCAAAAAATGTTCCACCGAAATATTCATAATAAGAGCATTAATTGCACTACACGTTATACATATATCTTTTATTTTCAAATAAGATTAAAAATGAATTTATCGGGTGATCGTACATAGCATTATACCTTCACACTTTAAAATCTTCCTGTAACACTACACATAATATCAAAAATGGTGAAAAATTTTGTCATTAATTACAAACTTGTTAATTATTTTTGTTAAAAATAATTTTTTTTTTTTTAGGAAAAGGAACATTCCACCTACCGATATTCTTTTAAAATTATTAATATAGAATAAGTAATTGTAAATTAATATTAAATCTGGATTATATAACAAAAGAATGCCGGTCAGAGTAAAGCTACAATTTCTTTTTGAACTTGAAAAACAAGTTTTCAATAAGATATTGGGGGATATTTTTGTTTTTGCTTTATCATGCATGCTTTACTGAAATAAAGTTCAATAATTTTAATAAGTAAAACAAGTTTTATACCTACGTCAATTTAAAATACAAAAACAAGTAGAACCTATATGTGTTAGTACAACAATATGTGGCTGTTAAACTTCAATTATAAATAAACTAGTATACAATATTAATCTTAACACAATTTATTGTAAGAATATAATGAATATTTAACTAGTAATAAAATGAATGTCATAATTTCTTAAGTTAACAATCTGGTTTTTGAACAGAATTAACACAATAATATTTTAACCTAGAAACCAAATTTCTCAGAATTATAAAGTTAACGCATATATAACAGGATTCGAAAATTCAAAAATCTTTTGTATACCAATGGTTACTCTTAACACCCAAGTAAAATACGTTACAGCACCTACCGTAATGCCTAATCAAAACTCAAAAATCTGAAATCGTCAAGGGTAAAGATTACAAAAAATTCAATTTCCGCTAAAAGTAAATATTAATTAAGGGCAAAAATCAAAAAAATTTCAAATTGCCGTTTTCTTACCTATTGCCTATGAAGACGTCATTATAGATTTTTGAAAGATACAGTAGTTTTTTAGGCGCATATACAAAGTATTAGCGTATAAGAGCTTATTAGTAATTTAGATTTTATTCCATAATTTTTGATAATTTTAAATTATTAAAAAGTTTTTGCATGATTTCCCTCCAAATTAATATGAAATTCGTTTATTTCATTTATGTAAACAAATTGAACGTGAGAATATTTGAAAAAAGATATTAAGTATAGAATATTCTTTTGGAAAGTTTGAATAAATTCTGAATATTCTCCAAAGTCACATTTAGATAAAGAATAATTGATGACGCTATTCGCAATTTATTTAAATATTACGATATTGTTAAAAAAAATCACTGAACTCGAGACTCCATTCTTAATGATTTGATCAAATTCGAAATTTAAAATTTTAATATTTCATTTAAATTTATAAATAATTTTTTGAAAACACTAATGAGCATTTTATAATTTTTTATAAAAACTTTATAAAATTTGTTTTTTATTCTCCACCAATTCGATATTTAATTTACGATATATTTATATTACTAATTATTACAGAGTTCAGATTGACTTGTTAATCTTTTCAACTGTGAAATAAAAATTTATAAAATATAATCATGTTGCTTATTTGGGACACTGCCCAGTGAAGTACCACCTGCATAGGCTGGGGAAGTCGGACTCACCCCTGTGTAAATTTTGTGGGGGTGGTGATGAGATCGCCGTGCACATTCTCTGCGGCTGTCCGGCACTGGCTGTTCGGCGCCGCAATTGTCGTGGACATGGGTCCCTAATTGTTCGGGAACTGTGGTCCACCTCCATTAGAGATATCTCCGGCTTTGTGGTTGGGACGGAGATATTATAGGTAGGAGCGTGGGGAGGCTACAAAAAATCAAGAGTGGCTGCGGTGCTTGGCTGCCCCACTCGGTTCCTTTGAAATCTACAAATCTACAATCTACAAAATGTTACTTATTTATACATCGGTACATTATGTATTTGAATTATAAAATTTCAAAAATTATATAAATTTTTACAATGAATTCGGTACGATAACGTCACATATAGCTACATTTACGTTATACATATTATTTACGTATGTCAATCACCGAAAACGCGAATTACATTTCCGCGTAGAACTAGACCTAATCAAATTGTTCTTACGTGCTTTTCGTTAGTTATTTGTACCCACTTCATTTTAATTAAAATTGTTTACAAAATGAACATTTAAAATATTTTATTAAAAAAAATAAAAACAAATTTAACTTTTTGATAATTTAATTAAGGTATGAATAATTTTATAATATAACTGCATAAATACCTGTAACTGACCATGAACACTCTATGTCATTTGTATTAAAGAATTAAAATCAAAATGAAAAAAAAAAAAGAAAAAGCTCTGAAACTTAATTAATTTCAGATTATATAATAAAATTTAAAAAAATATGCCAATATATAAATATATGAAGGTATGTGTGCATGTACATAACAAAATATATATAAGCGGTCGTAGTAAAATAAAAAAAATTTACACTTAAAATTTATTCAAGTTATAGTTGAAAAAAATTAAAAATTTTTTGGTCAAGTTCAAGTTCATGGAAAAAAAAACGCTCAAAAACCAATTGATTTGATTTTGTTGTTTTTATTCTTTCTGCAAATCATATTTTTAGATATTAATTTTTTGTTTGCGGTAATTATCCCAGATAACTAATTTTTATACGAATACACGTCCTTGGGCACCTTTCAATGAAAATTGAAAGTGAATGTATTGAATGGATTTATTTCGTGGGTCATAAATAAAAAATAAATAGACGAATATATAAATAAAAAATCAATAAAATTTGAAAAATAGCTTGTTACGAAACAATTTAATGAAGCTCAATACAAAAATCTGTCCATCATGAAAATTAGATATATGTAATACAATTCTGTAGGAGATGTAAATGTTATACTTTTTAGTGATTTTTAACAAATCACCATTATTCTAATGTTCTAATTATATTACCTTGTATTGTGATGAAAACATGAGAATTTTAAGCTAAATAATAATTATTAATACTATAACACTAAATTTAATACTAATAACACTAATTAAATTTAAAATATACTTTAGAAATCATCTGAATTTAAGAAAGAAAGTTTTAAATTTTTTACAATTTTCCCACGATTCAAGTAATTTCAGTTTTATGGTATTTGGCTTGCTACTTAATTGTTTGTTTAATTATGGATATTTTAGATACGAGTAATGCAATATGCTTCGGCATTTCTATAACTTAGAACTTAAATAACTTAAACTACCAAAAGACTCAGCAGCAAAACTTCAAATTTGACATTAGCAATTGTGAAAGTCTAAAATTGTCATATATTTTTTAAAATTTTGAAAATTAAATACGAGTATTTTATTACTTATTTTCAATTCATTGAAAAATAAATTTAAATTTTTGATTAAAGTAATAACAAAAATTTTAAAGAAATTTATTCTAGTAAAATTCTGTAAATCCGACTTTCTTTTTAAGTAAGTACGAAATAGTTTCCGCAACAGTAGAATCAAATTAATGAGTTGTTGCTCATCTGACCATTGGTGCAGTGGTTATGGCACCGGTCCTTTAACCGAAGGGTCTCGGGTTCAAACCCCGGTCAGGTCACTATAAAAATTATATTCAATATTATTATAACTTAATATACAATACTAATAAATATTATACAAGTAATTTTCAAATATTCGTAATATTCGATATTAAAAAAAAAAAAAAAAAAAAACTAAGAATAATAAACAGTAAATATTAATAACCTCAAATAATTTATATAAATAAAACTACGGCAGGCTAGTCACCTACCTAGTTAAACTCTATGACGCTATGAAACTATTGCATGAGAAATCATGCACTAGCCCTATGCTCCTTCTAGGAGTGAACAAAGGGAAAAAAAAAAAAAAATGAGTTGTTGCTCATATATCTTAAAAATCTTAATATATGTACTTAGTCATAAAACGAACTGGAAAAATACTATTGCATTATCAAACATATTTTTCTGACAGCACGTGCAGTACTTTGTTGTTAAACATAGGACACATTAATTTAGTACTAAGTTACAACTGAATTATCAAAAACGCAGTATACTCAATATATTGAATATAGTGAGCATATTGAAATCTAACAAAACGAAAATAAAATATTTTAAAATTTTAAAATTGTTGAAGAATGAAAAATGAGAAATTTTATTGTTTTTCTATTAAAGACAGCCCATAGTAAGTCTTAAATTAAAAAGTATGAGTTTTATACCAACATATGCGTTTACTTAAATATATTTTAGAGAAATTTTCATTCAGTTAACAGTCAACAAACATATTTATTTCTTAAAATTTTAATTTACTTACCTATAAATAGTTCGAAATCTCTGTCTCATATATGTATGAGGAAATTTTCTTGATATTTCAGATTTTTCCCAACTATTCTTCATTTTTGAACTTGTTCCATTCTTTTCCATTTTATAACTGGAATTATGAAATTCATTTCTATTATGATCATATATTGTACATAGTTAAAAAATTTTTGGATAATAAATTATCAATGGTGCTTCTTTGTTATGAACTCAACAAAAATTTATAAGGACAATATAAATAAAATAGGTTCCAAAAGAATTTTAAAGGTCAAACACAAAAGAAAATGTTTATTTTCATTTTTGTTATTAACTTGTTATCATAATACTCGAAAATAAATAATTTAAATATTACCTATGTATAACAGTTAGCAGTAATTTAAAGGTTTGTATAATAACGTATGATGGAAAAATTACAAATTTGATAAGTAAAAAGAAATGCATATTTTAAAAATTTTTTAATTAATAAAATATTCAGAGTTGCTAAATATAAGCTACTCGTACTATTAAAAATCAGGGGGTGAGTGTAAAAGTTTGAATCGAATCCATATATTCATGAGCAAATACAAATAGGTATAACATTAAATTTTAACATTTAATTCAATTTGTGTTTATGCACGTGAACTTTTAAGTTTTATATAACACTTTCTATACTCATACACATTATTACAATTTCTGTAGTTACAATCAAAAACTGCATAAGTAAAATTTTTTAGTTTTCAATTTTGCTCCAAATTTAAACACTCTCTACTTTTTATATTGTATTATGTGTATTGATTTGGCTAGTGAAAAAATTTGAGCTTCATTTACTCAAAAACCTGCTTTTTTAGCTGAACAAATTTTTGGATAGTTTTGATACTTTTAATTTTTTAATTTTGAAATCGTATACCTATAGTTAAAATAATGATTGCAATCGCAAATTATTTCAATAAGTTTCAAAATCTAAGATTGTGTGGAACCAATCTTCAATAAGTTCTAATTAAGTTCTAATATAGAATTTGAAACTGAAACCCTAGAAAAATTCAGATAATTTTAATATTTTAAAATTTTTTATAATTAGTTTGTTGTTCTTCTTTTTAATATTATAAAATTCATGTAGTTTTAATAAAATAAAATATTTTAAAAGTTCTGATAAATTTTTCCATGCCTAATATAGTGAACTTTTGCATGCAGTTTTTAAAAGCTCATTTCAGTGCACTAGCAATAGCAAATTATATTAAAGATAACAGAGTTAGTACACAAATAAAATTCCAATAACTTTATAACACTAATAACATTTTATTAATTGTTAAGCCAATAATTTTATAATATTATTTACCATTAATTATTCATGTAAGTTAAAAAAAATGCAATACTGTTATTTATTTTTCCTAGAAAATTTTTTAATTGAATGTATAATCTATTGAACCGGTCTTTTTTTTTAATTTAAATTGCTCCCTAACCTTTAAATTTGTACTTTATTTTTGTTCTAATATTATATAATTTAAATATTCCACATATAATTTATATAAAATTATTTAAATTTTGAACTGGAATTAAACCAGATAATAAAAATTGAAAGCAACACAAAATTCTTAATTTTAATAAATCACTTTCATTAGCAAATAACCAGATCAACGCGCGTCTTCAATTTTTTTAAAATGTTATAATTTTAAAGAACCGAACTGCTCTAATCAAATTTACAAGTATGAATGTTATAAAAGCTTAAATTTGTGATGATCTTTTCAGTTTATTAAAAATTTTATCGTCATAAAAAATAAAAAAATTATTTTTTATTTTAATTTAGTTTTTTATATCTACATACTACCCTTTGTTCCGATAAAAATTTGTTAACAAAGCTATTATCACCATGAAATAGTTTCTGACTTCATTTTACTTGCAACAATTAAAATTGTTCATAAACATATTGTTATATTTGCATTTTGTTAAATGTTTCCAAAATAATTTTAATGATAATTCAACAAATATTGAAACTATATTTAATGTAAGCCCGAAGTCAATTCAAAAACTGAGTTTCAAATACATTTGAGTAGAAATAACAAGCCATCGTGATAACAACAAAGGAACACATGTGCAAACAACAAAAGCCTCCGCTATATCTGGGTACCTCCGCGATGTCATATTGAAAAACAAATAAACTGAAAACAAAGTACGCGTCTACAAAAGTTGTGTGCGTCCAATAATGACATATACAGCTGAAACCAGAGCAGATACGTGAACGACAAAAAAAATATTGCGAACAGCTGAAATACAAACTTTCAGACAAATCTGTGAACACACCCATTTAGATAAAAAAAAGAAGTGCAGATATAAGAGAAGAATGCACAATTCGGGATGTCGTTCGATGGACAAAACAGGATGAGCTGAGACCGATTACCCAAAATGATGATGACTAGCAAACCCAACACAAAAAGACCACCAGATAGACCACCTAAAAGATGGGATTAGTGCTGAACCTCAGCATCCCAGGATCAGCAAAATTCATAATAGAGAATATTCATTCATAGTAGAAAATAGTACAGAATACTCGTATTTATTATTAATTGTAAAGGAATTAAAATTCAATATAATAGGAATTTATTTATATTATAATGGCCATAAATTTAATTTAAAATTCAAAGTACCCGATTATTAAAAAAAATTTTAAAACCGAAATTCTATACAAAATTCTATAGAACTAAATAGGAATGTATTTTTGTTTATTATTTATAAAAAAAATATCAAAATGCTAATTAATTTTAAATAAATTATAAAGTCTAGGAATAAAATAAATTATTTGTTTATGTAAAGACCGCATTGGGCATGTATGTACGCATGTAGAATATACTCGTACACCAGTATGTATATACCAATATGAATTAACATATTTTGCATTCTAATATTACATAGCCTAATTTGAATATTGCATTATAAAGAAACTAAAATTAATTTATTGTGACTCAAATACAAAGTCTACACACATACAAAAGTAATTTTTAAAAGATTAACGTTATTTTGTTATTATAATTTCATTATACTTAATTATTCGTACACATTTAAAGTGTACAAACAAAGTTTCTAAACATTTTTTTCAAAATAAAAAATAAATTTTGGTACCTTAATCATATATATGTAGTGTGATTGACCTTGCCAGCATAAAAATTTTAGGTAACCCACTATTACAGGTGTTGCTACTTTTCTTTTTTTTATTTTTGTTTTTATTAAGCTTTAATGATTGTGAATATTTTTTCTTTTCTCTATTTTTACTCTATTTCGAATATAAGCATAAGATTGTCAAGTAGCAATACACGCATACAGTAATATTTATTAACAGTAGAATCGCATTTATTTAAACTAATTTATTCATTTATTTATTGCCAGGACGCTTATTAGATTGAACATTTTTACTACAAATATTTTAAGAGTTCATACATTTTTAGTATTTACAGCTTTGTAATTTTTGTTTCTTAAGACTAAGATTTTTTGATTAATTTCAATTTAAAGGAAAAACGGCAAGAAAAAACCTTTTAAAAATTTTAACATAAATTACTTAAAAATAAAGACTTATACCCTACATTTTTTCCTATATATAAAACCTAGATTATTTTTAAATTAAATTTTTAAAGTACCTATATCTATTAATTAACCCTATATTTATCTTATATTACTATTCTACTAATTCTCTTATTAAAGGATTGCTGGAATTGTAACACGACTCCTGGAAGGTAGATAACATTTTATTAATTTGCTAGAAAACAGAATGTGTTTTGGCCATTTTGTGCAATTTTCGAAAAATAAAAAGTTTTATTTAGAATTAATTTTAAAATTTTATTTTACTTCCTTTGAAGCAACATTAAATTCGTCTTCGCAGCTGAGCTCCATACTGGTAGGCCATACAGAAGAATGCCCTGAAAAACCCCTTTAAATATTAATATTTTATTTTCTATATTCAGCAAAGATTTCCTATTAATAACTGGGTAAAGTATTTTTACAAAGAGATCCAATTTGTTGACAGTCCTTGCGGTATGTGATTGAAAAAGTAATTTTTTATCAAGATAGATTCCCAGATAGGTGATATTTGAACTAATTAATGTCATTAAAAGAGGTTCAAATAAGTGAATTAATGCACATAATATGTAAGTGAAAGGAGTACTAAAGAGTAATCGGAATATTTGTTTGACTAATTTTGAATTAATATTACATTTGTAGCCATCATATAAACATTTCTGTATATTCCATATTTTTAAATTTAATATCAAAATTTTAGATTGTAATCGTCTAAGTAAGACCTAGTACATATAGAAGAGTAGTCAGTATAAAAATTTCATGCATGGTATAGCATAACTGCGAGTCTACTGTATATTATAATATATGATTGTATGTACATAATTATAGTTTTTTGTTTGTAAATAAATCTCTAATGTACAGAAACTTCCGTTTCCAAATGATCTAAAATTACAGTTACTGTTTGGAGGTTTCTAATAGTTAAATCTATTAGTGATTTTGTTACAATGAAATTTGTCACAAATAATTTTAATTAAGAAAAGAAAGTAATAAAATACTGAATAATGAGCCAAAAATATCAAGCAGAAAAACATAGAGAAACAAATTTATGTACTTGTATGTTATATGTATGTATATATAAATCTCTTTAGTTTCACTATTGTGCATTGTATAATACATAGTATAATGCCTCTACAGTTCATCAGTAATCCACTAATAAATACAAATTTTATAATTTGTTCGAGATCATTTAAAGTTCCTAACCCTAGCGAAAAAATTTATGAGATAATTTGTTTTTTCTTATTTATATTAACTTATTTATAATAACATCAAATGGTACTTCTACTTTAATTCCCTTTTATAGTTTGTTCAAATGCCCAGCCTTAGAATTCCATATTGAAAAATGAATCATGTAAATTGAATAATTAATACACATTTAACAGAGTGTAATATTCTTTGCTTGCGTAATTGTATAAATAATATCAATATGAAAAACAAATATGAGGAATTAAAATGAAGTCAAAATTCAAAACGATTACTTAACTTATATATGCCCGCCTGTTCATAATGATATAGGGATATAATTAATTTAAGTATGTGATGATATTAACGAAACATTTGCGATGTCATAGAGTGCGTGTTAGTATTTAATATGAGCATCTAATAACATCTCAATTGGAATTTTAAAAAAATTTATCAAATGTGGTTATTCGCTTTAAGAGGTTTTCAAACGAAAATGATTGTCTCCTATATGAAGGGAATTTTCAAACTGATATCATTAAAAAATATTTCATATAACGTTGGGTCTATGCCTTCAATATGGTAATATAGTCAGTGGAGGAACTAGTCATTTTATTATTAACAAAAATTTCATCTCAAAGTTTCTACTTATTAAACTCGCTCATGAAGAAAAAAGCAGATATTGTGTGATTATCTGGAAGCAATGATTAGCATGGAAGCAATGATAATACAATTTTATATTATATTTGCATTTTCAATTCATCTTTCCTATTTAATACATTTTTAATTATTTATCAACCGGTTTACATATCCTATTCAAATAAACTTTACTGTAGGTAATTTCCCGCACCGGCTACTATATTATTAATATTAATATATTTTATTCACTCTAAAAACAAATGAAAACAATCAATTAAATTCTATAATTTTTGTTATTTTTATTTTTCATTTAAAAAATATATTTTATTATTTTTATTGTTTTCATCATTATTATTCTTATCTTATCTAGTCCAATGAATAAACAAAAATCTTATATTATAATGTAAATGCAAATACACACATATACATAATATATTATGATAAATACAGTATATAGCTCTTATAATATTAAAAAAAAATTTGGAATTCACATTGAGGAAAAATTTAAACACCCCATGTTTAAATATTCTATGAAACTAATATACATATTATATTTTTTTAATAACAATTAAGAATCACGTTTGGAATTTTAAATTATTCTCATCTGTTTATGAGTTGTAAAAATAATTATTTTTCATAAAAAATATACAACTTTAAAACTCTCGAAGGCACACCTTTTTTAAACAACTTAATATTTGATTTAAAATAATTTGTATTTAAACATTTTAATTGTGTTTTTAATAATTTTATTTTATTTCTTTTTAGATTTAATTATTTCATCTCTTGGTATCGGATTCGCTTCAATTCTTGCTAATTGCTTATGCTGTCCAATAAAATGATGTAACTGTGAACATTCTCTTAACTCTCCATTAAATTCTTCCATTGTATCATATAATATTGGATATAATTGTGGTAATATTCCATGATCTAATGTTGGAAATAAATGATGCATTGCATGATCACCAAAATGTGTTAATGTAAAGAAATGTGAATTTTTAAAATCAGCTCTTTCAATAACAGTATCCAATTGAAATAGACCCCAATCTCTATCAGAACGCATTACATCACCATCATGATGTATATCTGGATGATGATGAGCAGCATTTAATCCAATTAAAGAGAATATAAAACTAGCACCCAATATTATTAATATCCATGTTTTAAGAACAATGTATAATGTTCCACCAGTTGTTAAATACATTGCTAATGGTAGTGTAAATGCAATAATATCATCATAATAAAATACATTTTGTTTTTTCAATGAAAATATTATTCTAAAAGAAAGAAATATAATAAATTTGCCATTTTTAATTTTTAGGTTTATAATATTACCTTTTTATGAAAGACATTGGGAATAACGATACATAAATTAAAGGTCCATAAATCCATGAACCATAACGTTGAAAAGCTGTTTTTACATATGGATTAGGTATCCACATAAAATATGGTTCAAACATTGATATCTCTAAATCATGAAATGAATTTGTATATATATGATGTGATAGAGCATGTGAGATACGCCAATCATTAACATTCATTAAACCTAAATTAAAACAATACATTCTCCAATTATCTCGACGATGAAAGTAATTATGAGATGATATCACGGTCCAACATAGTAGAAATGAAGCAATTATTGTCATAAAATTACTATTTAATATCACGCTCATTATTGCTGTTAAAAATGTCGCCAACAATAGACCGGTATGTAAAAGCTTAAAATAATAATAAAAATAATTAAATATATAAATAAAAACATATATTTATTTACTTTTAAAAACAAATAAATTTAAGTTGAGATTAAAAGAAAAAAAAGTTCAAAGGTGATATAAATTCATTTTGTTGGGCTTTTTTTCATAGTAAAAATTGAAATCTGTATTAATTAATTCTGAATTTCACTTTAGTCTATAATATTATGTAAATATTAAAAAACAAAATTAAATTTATATAAACTTAATAAGATGTGCATCGAAGTGAATGCATTACACTCATAATTATGCGGATATGAGCGATGTAAGAGATTATTTTCAACTGTACACTACAAGCCTCGTTATACATATATGTTCTCAATTACTTATACAATTTATATACTTACATCACTCCTTGAAGATGGATGATAATCAATTGATTTCAATTTATCTCGAACTCTTTTCTTTAATGTCTTATAAAAACCATCATCATTCAATGTCAACGTTATATTTCTTGGTTCTTTTGCATCACGAATTTTAAATTTATTTATCATATTTTCTGGAATTATACTTATATGATGAATTTCAAAAGCTTCTGTAATATCAGTCCCCTAAATTTTATAATTTTACAATTAAAATAAATTAAATTGAATTTCTATTAAAAAAAAACAAAATATTTTACCCTTGTAGTTTCTAACCAAAATCTACCCCCCGGATGTCTTGAAATAAAATCAGAAAAATCATAAAGACTATCTTTAATTCTCCATAATCCTTCAGCATCATCTTCTTGTTGTTTTCCCAAAATCCATCTTTTAATAAATTTACAAAAAATAATCATTATTTAATATGAATTTTTGGTAACTAAACTTAATAAATTAAAATTAATGTCATACTTACTGTGATACCATACGAAATCTTGTATCGTAAAATGTTGATGGAAATTTTCTTGATATTACTGATTGCTTCCAATTTTCAGTCATTTTTCTTATTTTAAGATGCTCTGAATAACAATCTAATTAATTTAATTTTTCTTATTTCTCTCTTTAAACTTCTTTATTGCTGAACTTCTCGCCTCATACTGAATTTTATGTACTTTCTTAATCATGAAATTATTTAAGATTTTCAGTCGATATCAATTATTATTTTATGCGTTATCAGTTGGAGATTTTTTTTATTTGAACAAGATTTAAATTATCAGTCATAATATTACAAATATTGAATTAAAAATTATCAGTTTTTTATTTTTTATTATTGTTAGATTTTTTTAATAGGTATTTTTTGCTATTTTTAGTCACTTATACCTCTAGATAGATTTGTATGGTCAAAAAGGTCCAATTAAATAAAACTAGATTTAGAAAGCAATTGTTATTTTTCGTAAAGATAAAGAATATGTACGTACTTATTCACTTCTTGTCAAGTTTTCTCTATCAGAGAAACTAAATACATAGTATGTACATAAGTATATTTGTAAATGTATATGATTTATTTAAAAAGAGAAAAAATAAAATAGCACGTGTTAAGAATACAATATTAGGTATATGAATTGAAAATACAACTCTTTACAGTCGAACAAAACACAAGCTTTAAAGCTGAAACTGCTGAAGCAATTAATAGTAACAAATAGATTAGTAAAATAGTAAGTTACAATGAAGTAAATACTGTTATGTATTGGAATGAAATTCGAATCAATTATCAAATATGTATGTAAATATGTAAATACATAATATTTATGCAAATTAAAGTTATAGGCGTATATATGTATGTTTAGCTCAGCCGTGCATCTTCGTATGATGTATGTATGCAAAATAATAAAACTTGTTTAAAAGACAATTATTTAAGCTAATCAACTTTATCTCAATATATCGAGGGCTTATGTGGAAACCCTCTACCCAACATAAAAATTTTGAAATACTTTGCAACTAAAAGAAAAAAAAACTGTTAAATTCATTCTGCACATTTGTAATGAACAGTAAGAAAAGTAGTACTTTCGAATATTTTTCAAATAATCTCAAAATTTTCGAAATGTGATAGATTTTTCTTATTAGACCTTGATATTATGCAGTGCAAGTAGATCACATACATGATGATTCTTAAAAAAACCGTTTTATTTGAAGGTTCAATTTTTGTTAGAGTATACGTTATAGCCAGAAATATGTGAAAAAGTACAGATATCCAAAACAAGTTTAAATCCCCCCATCTCGCAGACAATTGACTTTTGACTTCTCTCTAAATTTAAATTTAAATATACTTAGTACCGTACCTACCTACATAAATGTGGAATATGTACCAAATTCTAGCGATCTCTTGAATATTTGAATTTTGTACATTTATAATATTGTAATATTTGCAAAATTAGTTGAGTTATGGATAGATACAAATATAATTTAAATTATCCCAACCTCAACCATAAAATAGTCAAAAATCACATTAATTAACATTAATTTTTTATATTTAAATTGATTATTCAAAATTTTTAATTAATAACGTAAAATATGTAGGTAGAATATAAGTCGAATCCAGGTGATAGATTATAATTCTGCTATATTAAAACTATTTTTAAAATGACCTATTTAGATTTATATTAGAAAATTTTCTATTCTATAAAAATTAAACGTCCATTAGAAATAACGCGAAATTAATAGAAAATCAAAAAATATAAGGACAATTTAAAATTAAACAAATAAAATAATGACAAAATTATTTTACACATAAATGTAACATTATATTAATCTTCTAGATTTTCTTGAAAAATCGACAAAACTCTACAATTGAACCTTTTTAAAATAATTAAGATAAATACAAATTGCCTTCTATTATTTTTTAGCCATTTTCTCTTAAAAATACTTATACCTACATATTTTGAAAACTTTATCTAAAAGAACAAAAATTACAAATTGAAATATGTATAGCGAAAACCAAAAAAAAAAAAATAAAATAAAAATTAAATCAATTTATTTTATCAACATTTTAATTTTTAAAATGTGATCTTCGTTTTAATAGATATCTTAATTTAATTTTTGTTTTTATGGATTTTTATTTAGAATAAACTTCTTATTTTGAATAATTAATCTATTTCCATTTGTTGTTTTGGTAATCCCATTTTGATGTTAAACCAAGAATTGGGTTCATTTCTAAATCGATAATACGTTTCAATTGGGCCTTTTGATGTTCTTCATCAAATGTGACTGGCATTTCAGAATAAACTAAAAATATAAAACAAATTTTACATTTAAAATTTGAACTTTTCAGAAACCTTTTTATCATCCATACCAAATGTATTCATTAATATACAAACTATAACTGCAGCTGATGCAAACATTAAACCAACACCAAGATGCATTTTCCATTCTCCTGTTGGAGCTTTTAATTCAGCGAATGTTTGACAGAATGATGCACGATAAAGTGCTTTTTTTTCGTCTAAGGTTAATTTTTTCCAATCGCCCTTTTCCTTTTCACGAAGATTAGCAATTTCTTTTGTTGTTTCCTTAAAACGAATTGCCGGCATTGGATAATCTACACGATCTGCGTAGCAAGCGGTTCCATTCCAACCATGCCCAACGATTTCACGGTTGCCAATTTTATCTAAAGTATGTACACCAGCAACACTACCAATTTGAGTTTGTACTCTTGGTGCTGCAATTTGAGCAGCTTTTCTTAGTGTGCTAATACCAAGCAATCGTAGAGCCATTTTGTGTATGGTTAAATAAGATTGTTAAGTTACTGCAATGAAAAAAAAACAAGGTGTTTATTGAATAGCAAAAATAATTTTTTTAGAATTTATGCATTATATAAACAAATAAAATCGATTCGACCATAATTATGAGTTTCCAGTTTGTATTTTGAAACAATAGTTATACAACAAAAATTTTTTCACCTAAATTTTTGAAATGTTTCCTTACTTAGAAAACTATATTTCAAGCTAAGGCTGAACTTGTGTTAAAATTTGCAAAATTAAATTTCAACACAAATTCCAAAATAATAGAAAAGCTATATTAAGAATTGTCAAATTGTTATAAAATTTATTGATTACGCGACCAATACACTATGTGCAAAATATTACATAACCAAAATTTTCTTGCAAATTTTTGCTTGATTTGAATCATAATTTGAGGCGGAAATATTGAATATTTAAAAATGATGAACTTAAGAAATTATTTAATAATAAGAATCCTTCTAGCAATGAAGTTAAAAAACGATGCGTTTCGAAGAAAATACAATTAATTTTTGCATTAAAATCAAAGTGACTGACATATTCCACAAGAACGAATTGAAATTTTATCGATTTTCTCGCATTTGAACTTCGTTTGACCTTATTATTGAATTTCGTAATTCCAATTAATTTACAATTTAAATTGCAATCAATATTACCAAAATATCTTAAAAATTTTTATAATTTAATAAAATTTATATAATAATCTAAATTCGTAGTATAAAAATGTGATTTTTTTATTTTATTCACTCACTTTGTCTTTCCCGCAGTTGTTAGATTTGAAAGAAAAAAATGACTAAATTTTTCACAGCTGTCAAAAGAATTTCTACAAATTTAATGTGTCAAAATTTAAAAAAATGCTGCCATTTATATTTTCTTTTTTTACATCTTGCGGCGACATCTATGAACGATTTGACTTATTTTTGTTTATGTTATATTTTTTTGTTCTATAAACAAAATCGTAATAAATAAATCGCAAATTATATCGTAAATTACTAAGTGTAATTAAAAGTATCGTAAACACATGATTATTACCATATATTTTGTAATCATAAACGAATTGTATTTTTATCTGAGCCTTACCTAAATGATGTTTCTTTTTCAACATAAAAGGCTACTTTTTTATTTATATGTTTAAATTAAACTGACGTAATATTTGACACTAAACTTCATTAAATATTTTTGGTTAACGAACCAACACCATCTGATAGAAAACAAAAAATACGATAAGACTAAACAGCCCCTAGTAGTAAGTAGCCTTACAACAGTTTGAAAAAAATTTTTTTTTTTTGTCATGAAGTCATGAAGTACCGTTACCTTGGTGAGGAAGCTACTTAATAAAAGTCAAAACTGAAGGAATACGCCATAAATTTACTAATGTTTTAATAAAATTTCAAAATATTAAATTAAATTATAAAAATTAATAATTAAATTTTTTGGCTAATAAATTTAAGGAAGATTCAATAGGAATGATACAAAAGGGTGTTGTTTGCTTTGATATTTCAAAAAATGAGTTATTTCAATTGGCTGACAATTACAAAACTTTGCACAGGAAAATTAAAGTTTCATGGAAAGTTGAACAGTAAGATGGAACATGGAAGAAAATTATTATGATTATTAGTTAGTAAAAACTATTTTTTTTTTATAGGAATGATGCTGAACTTTCAAAAGATGTTCTATCAAAAGCAAATATATTCATTATTTCTGGGCCACAAGACAAATTTACAGAAGATGAATTCAATGCTCTAAAAGTAAGTATAAGAAAATTATGTATGTATGTATATATACAGCTCTCAATAGGAAGTTAAACTTAATTTTCTTATAAATGCGCATTTAATGAAGAAATTTCTCTATTCTAGGAATTTATTGAAAATGGTGGCAAACTTTTAGTTATGCTAGGTGAAGGTGGTGAAAATGCATTCAACACAAATATAAATTTTTTCTTAGAAGATTATGGAATGTTCATTAATAACGGTAGATTTTTATTCATACGTTGATATAGAATCAGACACCAAAATAATTGTACATTTTAAAATTTTAGACACAGTACTACGACCACATTATTTTAAAAATTTTCATCCAAAAGAATGTATTATTGGTGGTGGAATTGTATGTGAATCAATGTGGCGTTATTTATTAAATGAAAAAATTGAAAAAATTGATTATGAATTTACTGATGAAAAATACAAAATACATTTTCAATATCCATATGGAGCAACAATGAATGTTTCAGAACCAGCAAACATTTTATTAACAACTGGACCGGTTGTATATCCATTTAATCGTCCATTAGTTGGTTATTATTGTAATGAAAAAAATGGTAAAATACTTGCTATCGGTTCAGGTCATATGTTTCAAGATAAATATCTAACTGATAAAACAAATGATATTATATTGGATTATTTTTTAAATTTATTATCAAATGATGATATTAAATTTACACATTTGGATTTTAATGATGTAGAGGTTTGTAAATGTTAAATTGAATTTTTCATTAATGCATACTATGCAATTACAGTAGATACTTAATCATATACTTTTAGATAAATGATAATAAAACTGTATCAGATATTGGTTTTATTGCTGAAATACCAAAACCATGTCTAGTTGAATCAACAGCAACTGATATACCAGCTGATTTTAAAAAGATGTTCGATATGAATATGTTTACATTAAGTAATGATTTATTAAAAGATGTAATTGATGCATATAGTAAACTAAATGTTAAATATGAACCATTGAAAATAATAAAACCACAATTCGATATACCATTACCACCGTTGCAACTTGCGGTAAGTGTTCTTATACTTGTTTTTTTTTTTTTTTGTAGTTTTTACAAGTTTTTTCTGCTGAAATGTCGAATTAAATTTCGAGAGAAGCGCAAAAATCTTGGTTAGAGGAAGGAAGAGAAATAATGAGGAATAAATTTAGATGAAGATTTGGCGACAGCTAATGACAAATTTTTAATATCAAATAATAAGAAAAAACAAAAAAAAAAAAAGAGTAAAAATTCATGACAATATGCATAAAACTTGTTTGCAAAAATATAAAAAAAAAATGTTCCAAGTCAATCAAATCAAAATAGAAAAAAATTTTATATGTATACATTGTATATGTATAAAATGTATGTATATATGTTCATACATATGTATGAATATATTGTGAGAAAACTTGTATTCTTGATTTAATTGAAGCCTTATAAAATATTTGCTCACATAATAAATAGTAATGCTTTCAATAAATTTTTTTTCTGAATTCCACAATAATTAACATCAGGTTTTTAACAGTGCATATTTGTGATAATTTCATTTAATATGCCCCTACATACATACATACATAAAAATAAAATATTCTCAAATGAATTTTCAATCAAATTACACTAAAATTCTTTGTTGAACATTATTAAAAATATTGTTCTTTAATTCGGTAGTCCAAGAATTCTAAATCCTTAATATATATGCGATTTAATTTTTAACACCCCACCAATGTACACATATGAACAAAACCAAGTAGATATAGTCATAGAAACTATATGTTAGAATACTATAGAATTCATTGTTATGTCTGACGTATTAATAAAATACATATTTTGTTTTTATTTTTTAGGTATTTCCACCAATATTTAGTGAACCACCTCCACCACCCTTAGAACTATTTGATTTGGATGAACATTTATCATCACCGCGTACACAACTTGATCAATTAACAATAAAATGTTTATCATCGATTAAAGATTCTCAGCAACAGAAAAAAGAATTTACAACAAAAGATTTGGAATATTTTATAAGAGAATGTGGTCGTATTGTTGGTATTGTACAAGAAGGACATGAAATTAATGCTAAAGAAATTTTATATAATGTTGGATTAAAAATTGCTAATTACAAGAAAATTGATAGAAAATTAGATTAAAGGTAAGATTTATAATTTCCCATCTTGTATTATTTATTATTATTATAATTTGAGCTATATTATTTTTAAAAGAATTTTTAGTTATCATACATGAATATTTGATGATGAATTGTAGTCTATTGAATTAAAATTGAATCTTCAATGCTATTGGAACATGTTATACTTAGGGAATGTTCAATAGCTTTATTATTTTTGCAAATAATTTAAGTGAATGAAATTAGAAACGTTCTTAGAGCTGTAGTTCTCTATTAAGAATGGTATTTGGAATTATAAGCGCTCGGAAAAAGAAACATGTTAAGCTACCGCATCACAAGTTTTGATGCAATAAAACTATGTTTCTAGTTGTAATGGTTATTTTAAATTTAAAGTCAAAAATTAATTAAATAATTAATTTTGGAATTAATATGAATAATAACATATGTGAAATGGAAATTAATATTTATTGCTATCTGAAGAAGTGTATTCGTATTACAAATTTATTAGTGTAATTACAACGATGACAAAAAATATTCAAAGATATGAAAATATTATACCTACATACCTCTAGCTTACATACATTATTTTTGCTCAGTTTTGAACTCTGTATCAATTTACATTGGATCGTTCGTTCTTAAATCGAGTATGTACAAGTAAATTAATCATAATCTGAGAGTTATTTCTCAATCAAAATAAAGTTGTTTCGAAAATGTTCATATTTTAAAAATTTTCCAAATAGTATAATTGAAATTTGGCACAAACAATTTTCGATAATAAGAAATCTCTATTTTTAAAGTAATTAATTGAAACTGTATTGGATAAAGTGGCAGCAGCTCTACAGAGTACGTAATTTTATTACAATGAGTTTAATGAAATTTTATGACTTCTTATAATAATTATGTACAATCAGTTTTTAATACAATTAACAATTAATGATAATGATGAATTCAAAATTATAATTTACATAATTTATTTAAATTCGTTTCATTTATTAAATAATATTCTTCCAAAATTTAAACAAAATAAATTGTAAAAAGCACCGAATCAAAATGTAAATACAAACTAAAGTGATTCTTTCATTATACTCGTACAATAAGAAAAAAGTAATTAGATACTTTTTATTTCATTTTTTCAAACATACTCGTAAAAATTCAAAATTCAATGAAGAAAAAGAAGTCTCAATGGATTCATAAATTTTTTGACTTTTTTAATCAATTCCAATGGGAATTCGCTATAGAAAAATATCCATTCATTTACTCGTAAGTATATATGTATAGAGTTTTACGGCACCGAACATTAAGAAAATCATATAGTAAGCAAAATTGAGGCACTAAAATAAAGAACAGGGAAAAACTATGTCTACAAATTTGTGATTGAGGTTTTTGTGGTTTACTTCCTTACTTTATTTTTTTCCTTAAGATTTAAGAAAAAATTTTTAATAAAAAACCAAACAAACTATAAATATGCACAAAAACAAAATTTAATTTATTTATAGTTGACATTAAAAAATTACTTTAATATTATTATGGATAAGGAATAATAGTTTCACGGTCTTAGATATCTTTTAACATGGGAAAATGTTTTGTTTTTTATGAAAATTTATAACAAATTCGTGGCAAAGTTGACATTTATTTCATTCACATATTAAGAATTAAAATTTAAAATTAGATATCAAAACAATTATAATCTACAATCTGTTTATCGTATAGTTTAAATAAAAATTTATTATCCGTAGACTCAAGTATATTATTAACATATAATTACTACTAATTATTTTGTACCTATAGTATATCAAAATTAATTAGTTTGATGATTTAAAAGTAGCAGAGTTTTTATGATATTAAAATTATATATTATACATGTATCTACGTATCTACGTATGTATATGTTCAAATTTTTCTAAGCATAGACAACTCTTAAATTTTTAATGATAATTTAAATTTATGTGTAAATACACAAAGTATTAGAAACTTTATGGTACTTATTTGATAAAGCGGATCCAGACGAACAAAAAACGACAAGAGACATTTGATTTATTAGGCCTTAAAATTAATTCTTCTGAAAATCTTTCAATTTTTACAAGATTTTTTTATAACTCGTGCAATATGACAGTCAAAGCCAATTTACTTTTAAAACCATAATTTTAAAGCTCTTGGACTCATTTGAAGCTAATGAAATTACTCTCTAGCAGTGTGCCATTGTGGTATGACACTTTTCTATTTTGCAGAATATTTATGTGCACTGGTCAATTGTACATACGTAACAACTTGTTGATTTTTCAGCTTTAAAATAGGCTTAAAATATCTTTTAAGCTGAGCTTTTTTCTCTCAGAAATCTTTCCCACTACACAATTTTTCTTTAATTATATTTATATTTACCAGAGTACAATAAGGGAATAAAATTAATAGATAAACTATAATCCACTGAATTGAAAAATAAATGGTTCTAACATTTGCAAAGAAATTATTAATTCAAGTGTTAAGATAAATTATTGCAAACATCAAGTAGAACGCAAAATTAACAATAATAAATTTTTGTTAATTTTTACAAGTATTTAAGAATTTTATTAATAATCACCTATTTTTTTTTTGATAGCGAGCCGAAACTCTTATATGATTAGGAAAGCTGGTTTTTGCGAAAATTTACTTAAATTATTGAATATATTATTGAAAATTTAGCGAAATTTTTGTGAACTAGCAAACTTAATACTGAATAAATTTTGTTATAATGTATAAATTTTTCTATTATCCTACCTATGCATTTTCTTAATATTATGAATCTTGTATACTTCTCTTTCTTACGGGTAAATTTAATTCATAACAAACCTTTTGAGCTAACATTTTGATTACTTCGAAATGCTATACCTCAAATATTGTATTCCAATAGATTGGCTGCTATACACATAAAATATCCATGAAAATTGAAAAGTGCTAAGTCTTCGAACGTGTTTAGGTTCAAAGAAAAATGTCAATGATTTTAATTTTAACAACATTTTCTTTTTTCGTAATTATTTGCAATTTAAAATATAATTTTTTAATCGTACATTTAATATAACCCTAAAATTATTAAAAATAATTACAAAATCTTGATTTAAAATTTTTATTTTCTAAGAAAAAAATTTTTTTTTTAAATTTAATTGCGATGCTATCATCTGTGTACGCCATTAGAATTTGCAAAAATTATAAAATTATAATTATAATTTTTTTTTTTTTAAGTATTATACAAAATACACGTTCTTAATAATTACACATTCAATTTTCACTTAAAACTTAAATTTGTTATTCAACTTTTTGCATTTCTTCTTTTACATTGCGTGTTTTAAAGCACGTTTCTATATAATATGCCCTATAAAAAAAATAATTGATTAATCTTGTTTTATTACATTTTGTAGTCAGTCCGTCGATTACCGGTCTATATATCTATACGATTCTTGACTTGAGAAAATTGAATTAGGAAACGGTTTTAATCCCGAAAATTGCATTTTTTTATAATTTGTTCTCATTTTTTTGTTCAAATTTTTAAAATCATAAATTTTTAGTTTTAATGATAAATTCAAATTTCTTAAATTAGCATATGGTGTACGTGAATACTCACTTCAAATTAGTTAAGATCAACACTAACTATGGAAAAATTCAACAAAACTAATCCATGTATGTAAAAAAAAAAACAAGAACTTGAACAAAATTATACCATTATCATTAATTTTATTTAATAAAAAAATTCAAGAAAAAAATGGCTAAGAAACTGAACGGATTCAGTTTAAATATGATAAACTTATGCCAATATGGTTAATGTTAGAGGATATAGTATGAAATTGCATGCCACTTTGTGCTCCATACCATTCCTGTGTTCCATTATTTTATATATGCAACTTAATTTTTTATAAACTCGTGTACATAACTCTAAACGTGTTGAAGGGTTCCAAATTATGGCTTAAGGTCAATAAAATTTTTGTTTGCTGTATTTCTTCTATTCTTTGTAGTAATACGGCATTAAAATACATGCATAATTGAACTTATGACTTTTATAGCTTTACCGGAATTTTATAGTCACGCTTTGTTATTTTAATTTCTGACATTTCCGAAAAAACAAATTCCCTTTAATTTTTAGTACAATTCTTTTGCAATGTCCATTTAATTCAATGTCACCTTACTCTGATCAACCTTAATACATCACTGCATTGAATTCTTTTAAATAAAAATAAATAAAATTCATTTGTGAAAACAAAATTCGCAGTTCTTCTTCCTCAGTAATTTTTTGTCAACATTTCTACAATCATCTTTTTCTTTTTGTTTTTGTTTGTTTTGTTGCATTTTTAATTCCTTTCGTTAATCCCAGCAATGATTGTTGGTGGTGGTATGACTGGCGATGTTTAAAATAATATGCAAGCTAATGTTATTTTTAATAGCTGAGCGCGCGGTGTAAATTAGAGTTGTTAAGATTTTAAGGTGCTGATAATGAACGCCATTTATTTTACTGTTTTCTCCTTCTTTACAATTTAATATTAAAACGCAAATTTATATAACATACATATGTACATATGTATGGATATGTAGGTATTAATGCTGAAATAAAAAACAGGAACTGTAATGAATCGAGTGTGCACTGTTTTATCGCGAGCTATACTTTGAGAATTTGAGTAAATGAAATTTGATTTGGATGATCTTTGATGGAATAGGTTTTTATTTTAAAATTATCTTTCAAAAATTGAACTATGATGAGGATGAAAGCTAAATTTCGTTAAAGTTCCTTTTTTCTTGTGGGAATTTGGGACCTAGAGTGTTGGAGTATTTTCACACTCCCTATATATGCGTCGATTGTAGTATTGAGTCTATACTTACATCTGTGGATTCAAAGTGTTATTCGAAATTCAAAAATTTTCTGAAAGTCTGCAATCTTTTCAGATCATCCATACAAAATTGAACAATGTTTCTTTAAAATTCTCATTACTAATTTTAATTAGTTTCAAAACTGTGACTAATATTGTCTACATTCTATATAGTAAGGAGTATGAGCTTTATTAAAAGAAGGCGATACGAGTGCTATTGATAACTTACATATAATTTTTATATTAAAGCCATTTATTGGGATAAACCTGCCATACAATTAATTTCTTCCATTCTTTTAGTAATGTTTGTGTATTTTAAAAGATTGGAATGATAAGAAATTCATCTTATATGCTTTTATATTATTTCAATACGCTTATGATACACTCTGTATTTCTTATTAAAGCAAATATAAAGGAGTTTTTTGAAAAGAGAATCATGAAAATATGCACAAAAAATAAAATGAGATTCGATTGGAATTTTATGATAAGAAAATTTTTGCATAGCAGGAATTCATTGTTTATATAAATTTGCAACGATTAACAAAATTTTTAATTTTGGAATGTAAATTACAATTTTTTTACTTAAAAAATAAATAAATAAAATTTTCAGATTTAGTAGACCATTTGGATGCAATATTAAATTTTATATTTTTGTCTTATGGACTGTATAAAGGGACTGACGACATTAAATTTATTTTTCTGTTTCTCTTTTGTTATTTTATAATTTCAAAAAAAAAAAAAAATACAAATTAAGTTTAATTTTTACTGATAGTTTCAGCTCACTGCGACTTCTTCTTCTTAGAGATTTTACAACAAAGTGGCTTTAATAACTTTGCATATGATGTACAGAAACCAGTTATGTATATTGTGAATTTTTACTTCAAATAAAATGTAATTTTTCTTATTATTTCGTTTTTTTTTTCAAAAACTAATGCAATATATCTTCATAATTATTAAAATTTGCATTTTGTTTTTTTAAATTTTCAGGTTAAGTTTTCAGGTACAGTTATCTTAAGAGAGGTTATTTTCAATGTATTGATTAAGATTTGTTAAGCCCTCTTGATCTTTTATCAAATCAGAAGTCGTTTTTTTTATTACATAAACATTGTTGAAATAGAAACTCATAAAATTTTTTTGTTATTATTGGGCCTAAGTCGCAATAGTATTTTAAATTTCTGAGTGATAGATCGAAATTCTAGCAGCTTAAAGCCTCTATATTGGTAAATTATTTTATATCGATCTCTAAAAAATTCAAATATTGTAATCTGAAATAAGAGGTTATTTTTTGTCTTCTTTGAGGGAAATAGCATTTGTAAATTTTTCTTTCTCAATCAACTATATTTAATATTTATTGATAGCATGTTTGAATTTTAATGAACGTATTTCATTTGGTGGAAATTCATTTGGTGGACATTTAAATAATTACCTGTTTAAACGTTAACAAGCCTTTTCTAATAATGTAATTTATTTGGAAAATTATAAATTAAAATTTTAATTGGAAAAGCATGAAAAATTGATAATTAGAAAAGAGAAATTCGATACCTTGAGTCTACGTGTTTTTAACCACGCACTAACTCCTATATAACCTAAACTCCTACACAAATTTTTTTTTGAAAAACATGTTCTGCGTTGATTTAGACATATAGGTCTGTACGTCGTTCTGGTTTTAGAAGATAGCTTCAAATGTCATCAAACAATCAGAAGTTGTTTCTTTCCAAACAAAGGGAACTGCACTCATAATTGTACCAATTCGAACAATGTGTTCGGCTAGCTTTCATACTACTGAAAATACTAATTTTAAATTTAAAAATAAATATAGTCATATAACTGCACAAAACCTGGTAGTCAGATAGTCAATTACAGTTTAGCTGCCTTATAACTCTAAAAGTTAATATATGAAAATTAGTAATTCCATAAATGCAAATGTAAGGTAATTCCATGAAATTTGGTAAGAAATTGTCAAATTGCAGTTTATACACGCTTCAAAAATATTATTAACTAAGTTTTGATTTTATACCTAATCAGATTTTCGACTTTCATTCTTAAGACAACGTTTAAAAGTTTTCAAATTTCTTTAATTATTTTTTCTAAAAAAATTAATTCAAATATGCAAATTATTCCACAATCTTATCTTGTCATCAACATTAAAAATATCTAAAAACAATTAATTTATTTAATTATATTTGCACAAAATACATAATGTATGCAAAAAATGTGGTATTTATATAAATGTACAGGCCAAGAGAATTAAAAGGTAAGAAAATTAAAAAAAAAAAACAAATTTTAATATTTTCATAAACAATAAAGGTAACAACATTGTTTACTGATTTTGTTTCCAGATTGACACGCTCTGTGGAACTTTTGTGGTTTTGAAATTTTTTTTTCTCTGTAAATTAAATACAACAACTACACAACACCCTCAATCAGTAAAATTGGAAAAATAAAAAAAAAAAAACAATTTAGAAAAAAAATCCGTCTTAATTTTTTTTTTGTTTTCGTTTTCTTACACTATTAAAACAAAACTTCACAATGTGCGTAAAAACTTACAACATCATTCTATTTTTTTTTATTTTGGCCCTTCCTTCTCTTATGCCCTATAAAATACAAATTGCATTCTCTATTTCTAACTCTTTCTTTTTTTCTATCTTTTTCTATAGTCTTTTTTTCTAGTCATTCATCAAGCACAATTTTTTTTTTTTGTAATTTTAGATCTGTGAGACGGATCTTAGCAGCTATACAAAAGTTAACAACATATTTTTTTTTTCTTATAGTGTTTTTCTATTTTTTGTTGATCTACTCTACCATCTATTTACTATATTAGTAACAATCACACAATTTTTACAATTCAGACCTTAAAAATCGTAACTATTTGCAACATTACCTATTTATACCTAAGTATATAAGATGAGTCTAAGTAAAATAATAATACTTAAAAAATTTTTTAACCACATTCAAATCTTAAAAAAGACGCCAAAAAGATAAAAATAAAAGAAAAATGTATAAATGAGAAAACAAAAATATAGAAAAATTGTCACAATTGTGAAGCCACAAAGCCATAAATCCGTATTAACAGTTGTTCCTATAAAAATTACTATATCATTATGACAGGGTGCTGTCCGAAGAACTTGTGTATAACGTTTAGAACAACTCCGAACAATAAATTTTTATTAAAATAAAGTTGCAATATTTTATTGAACATATTTTTGAACAACTTTTTGAAGAAGAACACTTAAAAATTAGGTCAAACGTTAAAATATTTTAACACAAGAGTTTTTGAGTTCAGCTTAAGTACAGCTAAAATTTGGGTAATTTGATTTAAATAAAATAGGTATTATTGTAATATGAAACTGCAGGTACTATTAAGACCTGTTATATCACTCTAATATTATTTTCTACAAGGAAGGATAAAGTTTATAACATCTAAATTGTATCAGACAGTCAATCCCAAGATATTCTTACTCCCATGTAAAATAGCTTTTCAAAACAGTATATTCAATTTATTATATTTTCATAGTATATCGGGATTTATTTTGAAATATGTACATAGTAAAAAGACAAGGACAATTTTTAATTTTCGACAAGTGTCGAAAATTAAAATTTTTTTTTTTTAATTTAAATATTAAATCGATATAGAAGTCGAAGTCGAGTTTGATTTGAAACGAATTTGAGTCACAATACAGAGGAGCTTTCAGTCGGCCAAAAGTCTGAGTTTTAATCAGAATTATGCTGCCGAAATTATGGAACAGCAATAAATTGGATAATAAAACTCAGTACGAATTCAAAATATTGAGTTTTGCCTGACATTTGTGCTATTTTTAATTCAGCTACGCAATTTCAATCAAATGGTTGCTAAAAGACACGATAGGAGGATTATTGTAACCTTGAATCCATAATTTCCTTCTTTAGGTGCATAAACAGTATAAAAGTACCTATATTTTATTTAGTCATAATAAATTGCAATCAACACCCTGCATATTTTGATCTAGAAATATTGGTATTTAAAATTAATTTTATATAAATTAAATACATATACACATAACTATACAATTAAGTAAATATTATAATTTCGATAAAAAATGCTCCAAATTAATACTGTCTGTATATTTTCACAAAAGTATACATCCATGCCATATGTAAGATGAAATTTCAAAAGAGTCTAACCAAAAAAACTATTTATATACTCGTAACAACTATTTTTATTCTATTGTACAATAGAAGTCTAATTTTAATATAGCAAATAAAACTGAAATGGTTTGATGAACAAAATGAGGAAATTCTTTGTTTTCCTTGACGATTTTTTTTTTCTGTTTTGCTTTTTTATTGTTTCTTAATATAGGTGAGGAATAATTAAAGTTTACAAATTTTTTCTAATTATTAATGTGGGTGTTTGTCTATGGTCAGTAAATATTTTAAACTAGAATATGTATATAATTATTTTCTGTATAGGAAATTGTATAAGGAATTAATAGATTCTTACATTTTAGTATAGGGAACATAATAGTGAATAAAGATTTTAAAATGACTTAGATAGTTGATTATTCTAAAAAAAAAGATCAAATAAACAGGAAGTTTCGTGAATAATTTGTAAATTTAAAAAAAATTTGTAAATCGTAAAGAAGAAATTAATTTGTTGCTTGCTAAGTAAATCGAAATATACGAAAAATTTTATGAGATATTGTTCCGGTAGAAAGCGGTATTGTCCCCTAAATAAATATCAGGAAGGACCATAAATAATCAATAAAATCTTAAAAATTATAAATTTTGTTCACGAATAAAGTTGTAAATTATCCAAAGGATCCGCATGGCGTCGGTTTCTAAAAAAGAACTTCGCCAATAATTGGCATAAAAAGACTAATGTAAGCTGGATTTGGTTTACATGAAAAGTATATAGGTATTACATGTAAAGTATAAAGGAAATATTTTAGCCAATTTGGATAGAGATTAAGAGGCAAAATTCGGAATGAAAGAGATAGTGATGATTAATTTTTTCTTACACTATCTTATGTAATTTGTTCTTCAATAAATGACGAAATTTCAAAAATATCTACAAAACTTAACATGCGCAAGAAATTTCAATATCAATAGGTTAAAGTTATTAAGTTTAACCAAAATTTTAACTAATTTCAATAAGCATTTGGTTATAACTGTAAATAATTTGGGAATTGGATCTGAGCATTTTTCTAAAACAAAATAAATTGAGTTCATTCAATCTCAATTTTAATCTAGTTCAATTTTCATTTCAGTTCCTAAACACGAATACCGGATACATTTTTACGCCACAAACTACGGAAATGCATACTTATTAAATCTAACAAATTTTTAAAAATTTTTAAAATGGATTAATTTTCACAAGATAATTTTTTCTTGTCATTTTTTACAAAACACTTTAATTCTAATTTTATTTATTTGTTTATTTATTTTTTGTATTTTTGTTTAATTTAATCATATCGTACTTTAAATAAACATGCGTTAAACTCATGTAAGAATTTTCTGAAATATGATAGTTAAGATAGAGCGAAAAAAAAATAATCGAAAACTAACAAAATTATACAAAATCAAATAAAAAAAACAACAACAAATATGGGGAAGGAAGAAGGAGGACAACTCCTTTCCAAAAACAAAATTATGCATAAAAGTATAAAACATCGTTAAACATACATAGCTGAGCAATGTAATTTTTTTTTTATTTAGTTGGACATATTTAGATTTTAGTTCTTTTTTTCTGTTGTTCTTGTCTTATTACACTCTCTTATTAGGGTTGCTAAAATATTGTGAATTTTGTTATGAATAAAAACAGGCTGAATTCAGGTTTGCAGTTTTTACTGCGGGAGATCTTAATAGTTAAAACTGTACAGCAATAGAACTACTCAAACAACGCCGCCAACAAAAACTCTGTTGTAAAAA